ATTATACACATTACATAAAAATATTGGCTATTTTCTAAGAAAAAATAACACTTGCTGCACATCAAGTAGCTCCAGCACACTTCACCTTGGTGTCCAGATATATGCATCATGACCACCACCAGCACCACCATCATGATCATCATCACGCTGGCACATGAGCCCGAACAATATACTGGATCCTAGTAATAATACATCAAGACTGCCCACTGCTACAGTATAGGGTGCTTGTTGATCAGAAACTGATACAAAGAAGAGTGCTCCGTTTGTCTCGTTTTACTTGCTTGGTTGCTTTCTTGCTTGGTTGCTGAGTATCTAAAGAGGTGTATCAGGTATCTACATCGCGATTGAAACTACAGTAGTACTATTGATACAGTACCTGGTATAAAATATATGATTGGATGAGGGGAGAAAAAAGTAGAAGCGTATCGACAACACGAATGAAAATGAATATCATGTAAGAGTCTTATTGCGATCGCACCATTGTACAATATCCAGGTGGCTGCAATACTGTATCGTAGTATCTGTTACTTCTGTAAGAAATTCTTTTTTAAACATTAAAAAAAATGTAAAATAGATAAAAAAAATAGGATGTGGTATATTGTTCTAGGAGGATAGTATACATGATGATAGTACAGTTACAATGTGTGTTTGTCCTTGATCCACTCGTCAGGACCTGCCTGGTTCAACGTAGTCAGCTGTTGGGGACTGACTCGGCGTGTATGGTGCCTTGGGCGACTGATGATTGATTCGGACTCGTCGATAACTTCTTCGGGGTTGGTGCATTCTTCTTCCTCTTCTACTTATTCTGCTGGTGGCTCGTAGTCCGTGGGGACTCGGCGGGGCAATTTGGGGGAAGTAATATTTGGACTTTTCGATCGCTTCTTGTTCTTCCTGCCGTGTTTGTTGTTGTTGTTGTTGTTGTTGTTGTTGTTGTTGGTGGTGGTGGTGGTGGAGATCTGCACTCCTACTGCTGCTCCTTTGCCAAGAGAGATTTGCACCATTCCTCCACAATCACTGGGGGATCGTTTGGGAGCCACCAATGGTGAATCATCACTCAGTTTCCTAGCAGGAGGAGGATTTGGTACTACATCCTCGTCGTGGTCAGGGATTTCAACTGGTTCGTGTTCACTGGGGAGTCGCTTTGGAGCTACCAGTGGTGAGACTTTCAGCCTTCTGGAAGAGGATCGTTTGACCTCACTGCCATCATCATCATCATTATCATCATCATTGGCTACTTCGCCCTCAGCAGCTTCATGATCGGTTTTTGATCGTTTCGGAGCAATCATGAGAGAGTCGTTTGGATTGCACGGTATCTCCTTGTTGAAGCCCATGCTTGCAGCCCACATACTGGCGGCCTCTACCTTGCCGCTTAGGCGACGTACTGGAGCGGAAAATACCGACGACGAGCAAGAATCGGATCGCTTCAATCCATCTAGATTCTGAGATGCTGTTCGCAGCACACCCGAATCATCTATTGCTGTGGTAGAGGAGCCCCATCGGGAATGACTCACATTATCGTAGTGATGATCCTCGCTGCCGTGAGATGTGTCATCGACGTCCATGGTTCTATTCTGAACAACTTGATTGAATTCCGGAGATTCAGTAGATTCGTTAATGTATGGGAGGTTTGGTGCTATTCCTCGAATCAAACTTGCTCGTCTTGCCGTAGGCATAGCATTAGTTGCGTCTCCATTGACTCCATCTGCCCAACGCTGACTTTGTAGCTGTTCACTACAGGAACCTTCGCTACAACTATCTTGGTCAACGTCCCAATAGCTGATGGTTATGGAGGACACTGGTCTGCCAGCACGATGTGACAATGAATGAACACTTACACTTTCTTCGTTGCTTTCAATGTCTTTCATGACGCCTGGTTGGATTCGATCACCTTTTGTTGGCTCGCCTATCGTTTCTGGTCTCTTTTCCTCTTCCTCTTTTCCTCCTTCACGAATAATGCTTCGATGCGCTGATCTGACCCGTTCACCAAAGACAGATCGCCGAAAAGTCCACATCTTTGTCTCCAATGGAAAGTCCTCTCGGTTCTTTAGGTACTTTGGTCTAATGTAGACCAACATGTTTGTGAATCCTTGGAGGGGCGAAAAGAAAGCATTGATGGCCATGATACGGTACATGGTTTGCATGAGTTGTGGTTCATCTTCTTCCTGGGTGATGGCTTCCACTATACCCAAACTTCCTACCCAGACATTGCAGAGGACATACGATCCCACAAATAAGAAGGCTTGGGAGCTTACAAGTCTCAATCTTTGTAGTTGATGCTTGCTCATTATCTTCGTTGCTTCTTCACTAGCCTTCTTATTATGACCAGATCCTTCGATACCGTCCGAGGAGGATAATGTATTGGCAGTCATGGTTCGTGATAGCGAAAGTGACTTGGTGGTGGTGGTCGTGGCGGCGGTGGTGGTGGGTGCACTTTGTGACCATACATAGAATCCAATGACCAAGTTGTTGATGAGGATGGAAAGCCCGGAGAATAGCAGCGGGAAACCAAGGAATATCCATCCAATGAGACCAGAGGTACAGGGTTCTTGATCTGGCTCATCTCCACACCCGTGTGGATATTCGTTGACCTTTTCAGGAGAACGAGTGGGAGAAAGGTCAGCTACGAGAGATTTCAGTGTGTTTCTAAATATACGCAATATAATATAGCGGACTTACCCAACATCCCATGCCAGTTGCTTTCTCACCGTACATTTCGTACAATGCACCCACAATCGCTGTGACCAAGGGAAATCCAATGGACATAAAGTGCATCCAGGGCTCCAACAGTCTCGCTATCCTCGAGTGTTTCATTCGAAATCGAACAGTTGCCATGAAGTAGTAGCTCAGAGCGGCGTTATACCACACATTTGCATACGAGAATTGAGTCATGGTACCAATCGCTGCACATGTGGCATCCGTTCCAATTGCCCACACTCGTCCACTTTCAGGCCGACGCAAAAAGGCAGCAAAAGCGAGCGAGACACTGGATATGATATCGCAAATGCTCAGCCCGATCAAAAGCCGAGTATAGGTTGTCCACTGCCGTTGACGCCTTGTCGAAACGCCCATGTAAATAATGACAGAACTTCCAAAGATGCTAAGAATTGCGCTTGGAATGGGCAAGATTGAAAGAACTTTATCTTGAGCAATGGTAATACCTTCATGTTGCGCCTGTTGCATGGTTCCTATGGCTTGATCATTCATAATTCAGAGCGAGAGTGTACCGGTATAATTGGATGGATGCAAAATTGTGTTTTGAGAGAGAGAGAGCTCTTGCTCAGAAACGCCATAATAGTTTTACGAAAGTTTTAGGATTCCGCTGTGACAAATAATGCCGCGTTTTCTTTTCCCTCTATATTTTTATATAAGGTTGTACTGGACGAAGGATTTTGTCGATTTAATTCAAAATGACCGAGATCAACCACGTTGACCATTTGCATTATATAGTACGATGTGTGTCTTAGATCGGTTTCTATTCTTTACTGGAAAAGTGTGCTGTTTTCTGTGTTCAGGGATATTCCGCATTTTGGTGTGAATCTGAACTGGAATCGGGGCCTGACCGGCTTGCTCACTCCTTCTGCACGGGGATCTGTGATCCGACATCATCACTGCTCGTGGAATTCATTCTTGGTCGG